TGCATAACCTCAGCATGCATCATTTTTATTCTTGTGTTTAAACCATGTCTCTAAAAAATCTAACATCCCTCAATGTTTTCTTACCACTTAGACTGTGTTTCCTTTCTTCTAAATAACATCTGAACTGTGAATAGGTCAATTTCAAAATAACCCTAGCAATTATTGGATTAAAATTATTCTATGGAAAATCTTTTAAATAACTTCTCACTTTTAAATAATTAGCTAGACTAAAATTTAGTCCTATAGTTTCATAGATGGTCTTGGTGCTTAAATTTGAGTCTACAAAAATAAAATGAATTACACAGAATTCTTGGGCAAACTTGAGGACAGGATTTTGCCTCTGCTTTTTTCAGAATGGGATGCCTGGTAAGCAAGTGAATTCAAGGAGAATTAGAAGATTATGAACACAAAGTCAAGTTGGTGCCTATGCATGAACAACCAAACATCTTCTTAGGACCCTCATTCAAAAGTTAAATTAACCAGTCTATTGTCATATTCCTGTTGGCAATAAGACTGCTCTGATCCATAAGAAAAAAATGGGTGATAGATCATCAAGAGAAATTCAAACAGAATTAAAATATTACAAACAAAAAGTCATTGATGAGGTTTGACGGGGGCGAGGGGGGGTGAGTTTCTTGGAATCTGGAGCCAACGGCCAAGAAAGAATTCTTGAAGATGTCTTTGGTGCAAAAAGGTGATTTTATTAAAGCACAGGGACAGGACACATGGGCAGAAAGAGCTATTCTGGGGTCTTGTGGAGTAACTCATTATATCCCTTCAGGTTGGGAAGGGGTCAGGGATAGAGTAAGTCTCTAAGGTATTGTGGAAGCAAGGTTTCCAGGACCTTGAGGGACTAGCTGTTGCTAGGGAAACGCCATTTATTACCATTGAATACCATCTTAGTCATGAGGCCCTTTATATCCCTGGGCAATAAGCTTGGAGTATGAATGCCAGTATGTATCTGGGTCCAAATGAGATAAAGGAAGTTGACTTACAGGATCCTTGGGGTTAGAATAACATTAAGCTAAAGTTCTCTTTTGCCCCCAGCAAAGTGTCATCCTTGAGGCAGCTGAGCTCCTAGAGGGAGATAGCTCTGCTGGTCTCAAGGACTTGTCAGTGGGATGTAGGCAGTAAGGGGATTTAATATTTCATTTGCCTCAGTTTACTATACTGCCACGACAAGCACTTACACCACTGTCCTTTGTTTTTAGGGTAGCCAGGAGTATCTGGGGAATATCACACATATTCCACCTGGGCAGGGGGGGTCGTACCAGCCTGTAATTTGCCCTCAGCTTGCTCCACTCTCCCCATCCATCATGTTATTGCCCATGCATGAACAACAAACCCAATCCATTGTCATATGCATTTTGGGAAAGAAGGCTGCTGCGACCCGCACCAAAACAAGTAGATTGCTATATACAAATTCGTATACATATAAAGTTGCTTTTTACATAAAACGTTGGCAAGAACTGAACTTAAGTAAATACAGCTCCTCACCAGCCGCTGAAAATCATTTTGACACTAATGCACAGAGAGTTCTTTGCTCTGTGGGTTATTTGCTGAGGTTCAAGGTAGTCTGCATTTTATCATCAGTTTTCACCATTTTGGCCCTGGTTCAATTCCAGCTTAGGAGAAAACTTGAAATACTGTCTCTTCTAGTACCTTGCAAACACTCCAGGAATTTGATGCTTTCCAGAATAATCTATGCTTGTTCTGTAAATACAATCAAAGACACTTTTCCAGAACAGAACAAAAAAGATTAGATTTGCTTTAGTTTCAATTGTCTAAAGAGAGTTCTCAGTTGTGGATTTGTTAATGGGTTTAGTACAAATAATGGAAATTGAATCATGCATTTTTATTAGTCATCCAAGAAGCCTTTCGGTTTCAGGTTCTTCTAGAAAGCTCAATCACCTGTGACTCTTCTTTTCACAACTTGGAAAATATCTTGCCTGATTAAGAAGTTAGTCATTTTACATTTTGACATATAAAACAATGAGAAGCTTAAAAACCTCAGAAAATTCCATTTATAAGCAACAGGATACATCACTTTAAAGATGAAACACTCAAGGATTTGTGGCGCCTTTCTTTGTTCCCCAATTATCCTATTTTACTTCTTGAGTGGCAGATATTTTGTAAATATCTGTGTTTGAATTCAAACAACAAATGTTGACAATTAGTTCTCTAGCCCAGAGTAAAAACATTATTATTTTATATTGGCAGCTTTTGTATTCTGAGAATCAACCTTCCTGTGTTTGTTTTCTTTACCAGTCAGTATTGTTCCAGGGCAAACACTAATCTTTGTCATTCAGTTTAAAACCTTAGGATAGGGGCACCTGGGTGGCTCAGTCAGTTAAGTTTCGGACTTCAGCTCAGGTCATGATCTCACGGCTCGTAGGTTCGAGCCCCGCGTCTGGCACTGTGCTGACAGCTCAGGTTCAGATTCTGTGTCTCCCTCTCTCTCTGCCCTGCCTCTGCTCATGCTCTGTCTCTCTCTGTCTCTCAAATATACATAAATGTTAAACAATTAAAAAAATAATAAATAAAAACTTAGGACAGTTTTTGACATAAAGTATTCTGAAAAAAAGTGATAAAGTACAATTTGGGAAATGTCCTTTACAGTCCTCATTTTCTGGAGACTGTTTATCCCTTCTTGTTTTAGCAGTTGCCTCTGACTTGGTCACAGCCATCCCCTGAGGCTTTCTTTTTCCATTTATTTTATCCATTTAAGGTTAACATAGTAAGAGTTTTGCTACCGAGAGATTAAAATAAGTATGTTTGATGGAGCTTTCTCAAGGCTCCCTCACTGACCACTGCCTTTCTCCCTGACTTCTTATCTGGCATCTCTTCAACACAGGCCATGTTGAGGCTACCGAGTAGCGTGCTTCACAAAGGGCCACAGTTTTCTGTGTATTCTGAAGGAGGCGGGAGGGAAAAAAAAAAAAATATATATATATATATATATGTGTATATAATATATATATATTCCTGTTGTTTGTATGCACTGACAGATAAGAGATAAAATTCATCAGAGTGTAGTTTCCTTCATTCGCTTTTTAAAGTCAATTGGCCTGTGAAATTTTACTGTAAAATTCACTGTAATATTTAGTAACATGGAATTGGACACGGCAGCTCCAGGCAAGAATAGGACACTCAGCACAATCAGCTGATACAAAAACTACATAACAAGGATATCATCTGTATTGTTTTCAGTTTATAGCTCTACAAAATAAAATTGGGGTGAATATCATGACTTGTGGTTTTATCCATTCTATATGTTTTGCTGCTTTAGTATTTATTAAGTACCAAGGTATTAGGAATTTAATCTAGTCATTAAAAAGAAATCCTTTTTGGGGGCACCTGGGTGGCTCAGTCACTTGAGCCTCTGACTCTTGATTTCGGCTCAGGTCATGATCCCGGGGTCGCGGGATCGAGCCTTGCATCGGGCTCGGCACTGAGTGTGGAGCCTGCTTAAGTATCTCTCTTTCTCTCCCTCTGCCTCTCTCTCTCTCTCCCCAGCTCGTGCTCTCATTCTCTCTCTCTTAAAAAAAAAAAAAAAAAAAGGGAAATCTTTTTCCTCTTGGTTCATAATTAAGTCTCCTATCATTTAAGTGTGGTTTTTTTTTTAGGCTATTATATGTCACCATCTTTCCCTGAGTCCTGGGAGAGAGGATAGGTATCATTGTACCTGGCTGGTGTTTGCATTTTGATTTTGTCATTATAATTTCACAATAGTGATGAACAAAACCAGGCTTTCCGGAAGAGATGAACTTCAAAGGCCATATTGCAAGAAAATGATGGCTGATGAATAGAGCCAACCACATGAGGAGAGGAGAAACGGTCAGAAAGGAAGAGAGGGCAAGAACTCTGTCAGAGACAAGAAATACAGGGAACTCATTCAGTGCACTCTGTAGTGACTGAGGGAAAATGTATTTATCAAAAGTCTTTCTTGATAGATCATGACAGACTGCTAAGTATCACCCTTCTCCCCATTTGTCCATAATGTATAAATAAGTACTTTAAATGATCAGATGGGAGAGTGCTGACATACATGGAAACTGAATATATGGGGCTGGAAAAGTTTGTGTTCATCAAACTCAGGAGCAAAGGCAGATTGGCAGGGGTTAAACCTCTCTTTCAGAGCGCTCGCTCTTGAAAGAATTGCTTCCTATGATAGCACGTCCTTCCCCTTTGGTCTTGGTGTATGGAGAAGCAAGAAACTCTAAAAATGGGCTGAAAGAATATGTCAGGGAAAGAACTAGGTCATCTCACATGACATAAAATAATGCACAATATCTTAAAACTTTTTCTACAGCCAGCAACATTCCGCCATCCATTTCTAGTGAGTTAACCTCAATTGTGATACAGCAAACACTAAATTGGGAAGAACCACAGCAAGAGATACTGAAACATAAATGGGTTTTGTATTTCCTGTGTCTTAAGAAGAAAAAATAGGTGAATCTCATCTTCCTTGACTGTTTCCTCAAAATATATGCTTAATTCACTAAATATTCCCTGGTAAGAAACTGACCCAGTAATAAATTAAATAATGTAAGGTCATGATCTCAAACAAAATAAATTAAAAAATGCAATCAATTGAATAATGTAAGGTAATGACTTCAAAGTACCAGACTACCTTTAAAAATTCTGGAAGAAGACATTTAACAACCAATGACCCTTTCAGGCTTAGAAAACAAAAACTCTTAGTATAAATGTTTGTGAAAGAAATTTAATTTTTAATACAAATTGCTCTCCATTTTTATCTACCAGTGGTCACCATTAAACAAAAACCTAAGTTTACGTTTATGATCAAAGACCAATAGTAGTTTAACTTGAATAGAGTTATACTTTCCGCCCACCTTATTAAGCCCTGATTTAAAATAAGACTAATGGTAATGTGCTATTAACTCACAGGTACACCAAAAACAAGACAAAAACACTCTCTCATGATATTTTGCTTCACATGCTAGTGAACAAATTAATGCATCATTTTCTTTCTACAGGAAAACTGAAGATTTTAATAACAAACCCTCCAAGGTCAAAATGAATACAGGTATGCTGTCTCTGTTAGTTTTAAACTCTTTAAAAATCATCTTGGCCCTAAATCATTAAGTTTAGTACTCTGCTGATCTGATTAATCTAAATTCATTACTTGATTTTTTTGTTTTTGTGCTCCAATCTTACAGCTATCAAAAAGAGGATTTTCTGTTTTGATATCTACTTACTCTCTTTTTCTATAATCATATCTTGAAATTAACCCCTATGAGCCCTAGGAAAGGTAGCATGTCATTTGATGCATACATCTGTAATTTCCCACTTAAAATAGGCTAAATTCATAGGCAAATTGCCGCAGTAGAAAATACTCAAAGTTCCCCTTTTATAAACATTTTATGTTAACAATGTTAGCAGACAGAGTGTCAAAGCTTCATATGAGATCAGCTTAATTATTCTAGATGTAATACACATAAAGTCATAAGTATTATATTTTTAGAATAAGAACAGTATCTCCAACTAGCTTTAACAACATTAAGGTCTCTGAACTCTGTATTATATAACAATACAGGTATTATATAATACAGGTTAATTGCAACAGGGCTTGCGACACATGCTAGGCACATATGAATTTTCTTTCCACAGTAGAAATATTTCAACTTCTATTTTCACCTTTGCCCCTTGAAATTTTTATATTGGCTACCAAGTGATTCTGAAAAACAGCTTTCTCACTGAAATTCTGGAAGCCGTGTTCACAGATGATACCGTTTCCTATCCACAAGCAGTCACTGGAAAGTTAGCCAGTTACTCCATGGCAAAGGAAAAAGGGGGTCCAGGATACTTTCTCACCTCAAGCTGCTTGCCTGGTTGCTATCTCTTATTGTTAGCAAAATGCTCCTAGGGACGATTAGCGGTCATTGGTGAGAACCAACATCTAATCCCCAGATCAAGGGTAGAGACACGGACACTTGTCCTTTTGTCCATGATTCTATCGTCGCCCCTTGGCAGAAACCTTGCTCTAGTTGACCTCAGAGAAGTGTGGGTCAGCGGCCCCCGAAGACGCAGTTATAAATGTGGAGAGTAACAGACAAGATGGGGGTACTGGAGATAGTCAAAATATATAAGGAAGGCTTACAAATCAAGAGAGATGATAACCCTAGAAAAGAACCAAGTAAAGGCATTTGGACAGTTGGAGGTGTGGCAATTAGACATGGGAAATGAAGGGAGAAATGTTATTAAGGAAAAGGATTTCTTGAAGAGAGCAAATAGAATAGAGAGAACACTGCTGAACAGAAGGCAATGGTGTGAGAGTTGTCATCCAGCAAACTGCCCACTTGAGGAAGTTGTATTCACCAACTGTTCGCAGGCACCTTCTCAGGGATTAAAGTTGAATCTAACTTCCCAGTATCCTTCATTTTGTGGAGTGCTGATTCGCCTAATGACAGAGGTATAATATGTGATTACACTAAATATGCCATATTGATTATATTACATTCAATAATTAATCTTCCTAGTCATAGAATCCAGTCCTTAATAGCAAAGTAGGCAAAGAGAAATTTGTGCATTTGTTTAGGTCTCTGGGCTACTTGAGCCAAGTTATTGCTTCAGCAGCGTGAATGTAACCCTCTAAAGCATGCTGTTGTTTAAAAGGAATGAGCATGGCTCTATACAGAATGCTGATTTGCATAGCTACTTTGCTTATCTGGGTGAATTTACACACATATGTGCACATAAAATATGATATTCAAACATATGCGTACAAAATTGACTAGAAGTGACTGGACCCTTTTGTCTAAAATGCCAAAGTACTACTATAATATTGCTATTTAAATATATATATTGCTGTAGGAAGTTGAAGAAAGCATTGTCACTCTATCTACAAAATAAAGTAGAGTGGTCCTTAAATATCTGTACATAAAACTGGTCTTTGTTACCTACCTATGAATCATTAAAGAGATATATTACTGCTTCAATGTCCTTGGGTCAGTCACTAACATTTTAGAAAAAAAAAATCTTTTAGGTTAGCTTTTCATTTTTTACTCAAATACATACATAATAAACCAACCAAAGAAATGTGATTCATTTTTCATACAGAAGTATCTAAACAATGTATGGAAATATACAAAAACGTGTTCTATTTCCAGTCTTAGAACTTGCGAACCATCATTTTCCAAGAAAAATCTTAGCTCTTAAAGAAAGGAAGGAGAGAAAGACATCAGATAAGTCACAGTGTGTGACTTACCCATGAGTGTTTCCCAGCAGGTGGAAACAGCTCCTAGGAGTACTGTAGCATCAGTGCCAGAGTATGCAGGTCACTTATGACCTGCCTCCTTCTAGGTCGTGAATGAGTGTGAAGATGAGCGTAGCATCAGGATACTTTAAAATGACCTGAAATATGCAAGACAGTATCCTCATTTTGAGATCTTACACATATCTTCAAGGAATAGCAGAAAGTATCAACACATGAGCAAGTAGATAAAGAATACAATAGATTTTTCTGTTCCAGCAGTTTTACAAGTGTCTCAACTTTTCAAGGGGAGCCCTTTATTAAACTGGTAATAAAAAAACTGATTCTCATTTCATTTTATACAGGTCTTAGCTTAGAATACAGACACTGTTTAACCCAGAGGTTCCTATACTTCCTGGTTTTACAATGTCAAGATAGCTTGGGAATTTTCAGCCATGCTCTCAAGCCAAAAGAAATACCTAACAATTCTATTTATTAAGCAGTAGGTGCAGACAACTTAATAAGTACTTATGTTCTACCAACTGAGAAGCAATTTGAAAAAATAATACACTTTAATTTAAAAAGTAATCATTTTTTAAATTCTTTATAACCACAGGTACTTACTAATGGAATGTGTGTGCCTGCTGAATGCACACAAAACTTCTCAGACCATGGAATTAGAGTGCACATCACCACTCTCTTTTACTGGCCCAAAATTCTTTTCAGGGGGCACTTGCTTTTTGCCACAGTTAACACCAAAACCCAGCTTTTCAAAGATGTGATATCATCTACAGGCAGACAACATAATTGACTACATTGAAAATGGGAACTAGTTGAAGCTCGTAGTTTCAGGCAGTGTCTGATGGATATCACTGTGTTCTCCTCAAGAACATAAAATATACTCCCAAGACCTTGTAAATCTCCTGAGAGGGCCCAAGGTCCCTCTGCACACAGTTTTGGAACCATGGATTGAATGAGTAGCCCTGAATCTCCTCATTTTGAAACTTTTCAGATGTTCAGGATTAACAGAACTAGAAAATGAAACTTCCTAGAGGTCAGGGACCACTTTCAACACCCTTCACTACACAATCCTTCTAGACCATTCATAGCTGCTATCCACCACACATTCAGTGACATTACCTCCATTTTATCTAAAACACTCCTCTCTTGTAGCCACCTTTTTTTTTCTTTTTTTTTTTTCTTTGCAGTTTGCTAAAATCCTCTTGGTGTCTCTCTTAAAGATATCTTTAGTACTGTATGTTTCTACCATTTGTGTCTTTCTATGTTGACCTTTGATTTATTTGACTTCACTTATGTTGCTTCAAATCATTTTTCTGCTTTAGTTATTGTCTGGATTAGGAAATTGTTACTTTAAACATATATTTAAGAAATTATAGTTTGATAAGAGAGTCATTCCACCAATTGTAAACTCTACTGAACTATCGCTTGTGATTTTATCAATAATTAATTTAAGTTGCACTTCCAAACACTCTTAAATTATTTCACTTCCAATAAACCAAGTGGATACTTTTCTTTAAGAAATAAAGGAAAAGGGAAAAAAGGAAAATAGCATGTGGCAATATACAATGATGATATTATCACAGTGGTGGTTATATGATTTGTTTTTCTTGTTATAACTTCCAAGAAGAATTCAATTTCAGTTGTTTCATTCCCGGGGAAGGAGCAAAACTATTTATTGCACATTCCATACACAAAGGAATGTGGGAATGAAATTGGAGTCCATTTCTAAATAGAACACAAACCTTCTAATTTTAGAAGTCTTGGTACTCTAAACTTCTCATATCATGTTAAAATAGCTGATGCATTTTCACTTATTTTATTTCATGTTGTGATTTCCATACAGTGTAAGTATACAGATCATCATATATATTGTTCAAAAGTATAAAAGCAATTGATTTTAAACATTGGTCATTTCAGTACTGTGTATATCAATATTGCCTTTGATTCCAAATAAGAAGATAGAGAATTTCTAAAATGATATATGTTTATGAATCCTATCGATCACATAGACCATGCCTATATCAGTTAATAACTTTTACTTCAAGAAGTGGTTCCAGCTACTTTTAGGAATCATAAATAGCTAAAATACAGTAAAGCCTAAATGATGGATAAAAAATATACTATATCATAGCTCTCAGTCCTGAAATACAAGTTGTCCATAACTCTAAAGGCTACTCACACTGCTTATAAATTTATGTTAATTGAATTTAAATGGTATAAACAAAGTTGAGTTCCGTATTTGTGTTTTCATTAAAGAAAACCATTAAGACAGTAAGTATAAAGTTTGTGTTTTCACTAAAGTGTTGCCATCTATTGCTAAAACAGACCCCTGGTTTTTATGTTTTGTGTGTTTTAGTTGGGGGTGGGTGTGAAGTTTTCAGATGTAGTCCATGGTTACTAATTCTGACTGCTCATCTTCCTCACGGATGTCTGGCACGTTCCACTTAAAAATGCATGATAGTGCATGTGCTTCCTCCTTTGCTGTGGCCTCTGCTATATCATTTTTTTGCTTTCAGATAGCGGTGGGTGTGTTCGCAAACGTGCTGCCATGTCTGTTACATTAACATCTGTGAAGAGAGTTCAAAGTTCTCCAAACCTATTGACTGCAGGTATAATATCACTAACTCACAGAATGTCACAATCTACTGGCTTTATCTGACCTTTCTCTCTTTCCAGAATTATCTTGTTTGGATGATGAAAGCGGCTGTAAATACTTTTCGAATGCCTTACAAGTTCTTATTTTTCTTGTCTCAAGAATAGCTCCTATCCCTTATGACTGTTTTTGTTCTAAAAATATAAAGCCAAATGAAACTGATATCTTATAAAAAGCATATTAAAAATCTAATTAAAAACAACAGTCACCTGACAAAAATGTGTTGAGTAACAGCTGCAAGTGTTAATAACTAATTAAGGTTTTTTTTCCCTCATAAACTAAAGCAACACAATGTTTAGTTAAGATAACTCACACATGATTTAGTTGCTTTCTTTTTATCTAAAAACTGCTGGGTGGTGGGGACACAGGGTGTCAGGAAGAGGGATTTTCAGAAACTGAACTATTATAAATTCACTTCTTCACCAAAGGTTGCGAACAATATGAGAAAATAATAGTTTTGAAAAAGACCTTAAAATATCCTTTAATCCAATCAGCAAAGACTCTTCTAATACATATTTTTAAATGTCTTGGTCCAATTAAGATTAATTTGTACCCACAGATATAAATATCTGTAGAAAGTCATTGAGAGTGTGATATTTCAGCATCCAATGAGGTGGGTCTCTTTTTGACAAATGTCTGTCTTTCTTACCTAAACCTGTGGGCACAGTCTGCACTGAGAGAGGCTATTGCTGTAGAAGATCAAAGTGAACCCAATAGCTCCAGTGTCTGTAGATCCTGCAGTATGCCCAGACCTTATTGTGACTGGTTTGTGGGTTGGCTGGTTGGTTAGGTGGTTTGATTGTGTGTTCGTTAGTTGGGGTTCCTTGTTTTTTATTTATAATATCTGCAGGTTTGGGAGAAGCTGGAAAGAGATTGAGAGTATTTAAATAATTTTAATTCATACTGTGCATATTAGTGTCTTTTATACACATAAATTTAGTAGTTAATTAATACTGAGAATGTCCTTGGTTAAAGCCACTTGATCCTAAACTACCCAGCTATTTTGAGGGGAAAAAACAAGCTTTCATGTGCAGAATCCCACTCTTCACCACCACCACCTCCAGTTCACAAGTGTATCTCAATGTACAAGTTTAAATACCAGTCCAGGTATTCCATAATATATTACATTTTTAAAAATGCAAATTGCATTGCAATGTATGTAGCATGATATCATTTTGGTTAAGAAAGATCTTTGTATATGTGTTTGTACATGTTTGTTCATGTGTACACGAGCATGGAAAAATGTCAGAAAAACTCAAGTGTAGTTTGTATTGGATACCCGAGAGAAAAGGAAATAAAGGGAAACAAGAAAATAAATAAATTGATTGATTGATTGATTGATTAAATAAATAGAATTCCAGGGCCATCAGGTGATTGGAATGCCTAACCACAAATGCCACTGGCATTTCAACCAAGTAAAATTCTGGCCCAAGCAGCTCAGACATGGACCATCTGAGGGTACCATGTAGGGGATGTGGCACTGCTTCAACAATGCCAGATTGTTATGATTTACAAAAGTATGCTAAAGGAATAGTAGGAGATTGAAATAGAAATTGCCATTTTGGAGAGTCAAAACTAGAACACCATCAATTTTGTAACACTCAATTTAGTAGAAAATATTTAATGCTTCAGAATCAAAGTAATGGAGAAGATTTGGTACTTTAGGAATATGAGATTATCTTCAGTAACAAGAGTATCCAATGTCTCTGGACCATTTAAAATTTTTTTAATGTCCATTTTTCAGAGAGAGTGCAAGTTGGGGAGGGGCTGGAGGGTGGAGTGGGCCAGAGGATCCTAAGCAGGCTGTGCGCTGACAGCAGCTAGCCTGATGCAGGGCTCGAAATCACAAACCATGAGATCATGACCTGAGCCAAAGCTGGACACTCAACCGACTGAGCCACCCAGGTGCTCCAACCATTTAAAATTTTATATCACTAGAGGAGGTCTGGGAGGCTCAGTCGGTTAAGCCTCCGACTTCGGCTCAGGTCATGATCTCACCTTTCCCAAGTTCAAGCCCCACGTCGGGCTCTGTGCTGACAGCTCAGAGCCTGGAGCCTGTTTCTGATTCTGTGTCTCCCTCTCTGTCTCTGCCCACCCCCACTTGCATTCTGTCTCTCTCTCTCAAAAATAAATAAACATTAAAAAACCTTTTTAAATTTTATATCACTAGGAATACGATTTCTAGAGAACGAAGTCCCCTGAACTTTGTTTTTAATTGCTACATTAAAAATAGATCTCTTTTGTATTAGATACATAAGATATGATTCCTTTTCCAAGGAACTTTTAATTACATTTTGAAGAAAGAAATAAGCCTCTGTTTATGCCTCTTATATCCTATGATAGCCTTCATAAGAACTTATTCGACATAGCGTCTTCTTGTGAATCAAAAGAGGATTAGTAAATATTTATCACATTAGATAGTATTAAAATAAAACAACTTTTAAGTAAAAGACTACCTCCACAAAAAATTCTAAGCCCCCCTCTCTCCCTGCTCCAATCACAAAGTCAATATGAGCAGCTAGTGATCAACTATTTGTCCTTTAAATCAGTGTGTTTCTCTTTGTCTTTTAGAAGAAGTAATGTCCCAATGGGCAATTCACAGCACATACTGATATTTTCAACCTAAGCTAGAACAACAATAATGAGTATGTTGACTGTAGACTATAGAGATACAACAAGACTTTTCAAAGTACATTTTATTTTACCAAACATGTGGCGCTCTACGATAACACCAGTATGGTGGTATGCTGTGGAGACTGGACCATTATGGTAAGAATATGCATCCTGCCAACACCACCTGGGTGTTTTACATATACCCTTGGGAAATTCCATCTCTTTGTACTTCAATTTTCCTTTCTTAAAAAGAAAATTTTTTGTCATTTTCCTATCTCTTTGAGAACTTAATCATTTCCCAAACTCACAAGGATTTGTCATAATTAAATAAGAGTACATGAAGAAAATAAATAAAGAGGCTTATCACAGCACTTAGAGACACAGTAGGCATTCAATTAGTTGACCTGAATTAATACGTGTAATTCATTCTTGCAAAGCACTTGAACCCTCCAAAGAAAGGAGCTATAAGAATTAAAATCATAATTTTCAAGAAAAGTGTAGTTTATATTGTCTAACATAGCATACCAGTTAAAAGGTATTTAAATAAAACCTCACGGGAGAGATTATGATATAACAGGTACCACCAACATGGCTACATGAAAATCATAATGGTGGAATCATAAAATTGGAAAGGACCTTGAGGGCATCCAGCCCAATCCCCGAACTGCGCCAGGAATGCCTTGATAAGACCTGTGACAGGTGTCCACCACCTTCTGCCTGGACACCGGGAGTGTTCATTGTACCAGAGAAAAGCGGTTATGGTTCTTAATTCTCACAGACCCTATTTATATTCACATGCCAAAGAGCCAGGGAATGATAGATCTGTCCCATTTGCTCATTCTTCAATTTTCAGGGAAGCAATGACCATCAACGATAAAGAACACTAGAAACTAAAGTCTCTGATCTCTGGAACTCAAGTTCTAGTTTCTCCACAAGTGAACAACCATGAATCATACCCAAGATACTGGGCAAAAACCATTTTCCCCATGAATCTGCCAAATCATTTACATGCTAACCTTTTTTTTTTTAACCTATATTCTCTTTACTTGACATGGTTCCAGGATGCTTTCTGTTACTTGCTCCAAACCACACTTGCCCTCCCTTTCCTAAGCATTCTTGGCAGAAATTAAATAAAAGCAAGGCTATGGTGAACAGTATTCATGTGGGATGGTGTTTCTCTTTCAGTGCCTCTGAAGAATTATAATAAAATAGCAAATCAGGACTCGGTGTATTAGCTATATATAACTGGATTTATTTTAAAGAAATGAATGTTGTACATTTCAATATCCTTAAGAAACCACCCACTTAAGAGTAGACTGAAATCATTAACATAAGATTCATTAACATATGGATTCATCCTGAAGTTTTAAGCCAGGGCCATTTTTCTCCTTGCTCCTTGCTCATAATTCTACACCCTTGTGTCTATCATGTTAAGCAGGGCTATTTGGTGGAGCTCAAACTCATTTTTTTTTTAAATTTGAGCACAGTTCGAAAAGCTCACCATTATTAATATCTCATATTTCCTGTAGCAGAGGTACAGGTCCATTGGGAAATCTCTGGGCCCAGTACAGGGGGAGAGGGAAGCCTCTGGTTGAACCTAGAGTGACTATCATGTGAGTCTTGCACATAATGTTTATTCCCCTGTAGGTTCCATCATCTCCAGCATGGTCACCAGTAAGAAGAAACAGAACTGCCCCTCTACAAACTGCCAATCTGATGAAGTTTTTTTCAAGCATCCTTCAAATCTGCTCTAAATATACCTTCCTCCCCTTCACTGTGTCTACATCTCTTGTACTTACAAGCATCTGGCTTCTACCATCTCCATCCCCGGCATATACCCACACACCCTTCATTATAAGCTCAGTTTTATCAAACTAAGGTGGAATAAACTCCCTATTCTTAAGCAAATAACTATGATATAAATAATAATTACTACTGCTCCTTCCCTTTTCATTGCCATTCCAGGTCCCAAAACTTGCTCCTTGTCCACAAACAGTATGTGACACTCAGGTGGTTTTTATATCTCTCTTCCTGAGTGCCCCAGAGCAGAATTCTGATTACTCTGTATTGCTACACTATGTTTGTTTTCTTTGTAAAACATCCTTTACGTGATTGAGAATTTCAATCACTTCTGCTTCCATTAAATCCTAGAAATAGAATCTAATAGTAAGCATTTCACATATAAGTCTTCAGAGTTACTGTTTTTCTTTGCCGTACCCATGTTATTGTGGTAAAATGATTTTGAGCTCATTGGAGATAAATTCCATAGTAAATTAGCAATTATCATAAAGGATAATGATTTGTTAGTCTTCTCTAACTCACCTGAGCTGAAGACATGGTAATGTACTCTGTGCTATTTCATATTTTTCTTCCTTTGATTTAGAAAGAGTCTGTATCAAATATTTTATCTAAAAACCAAACTCTCATTTCTCAACTCATTTTTATCACTCCAAATTTATGTGTTTAGGTTTCAAAATATCCCATAAGCATTAGAAAGAAAATGAAGAGTCCTTTTTACACGTAACATCATGTTCTATTAGGCATTGAGATACAGCAATTTAATAATGGTCTCGGGAAACCTTGAGGAGGAGTTCAGGACTGGACAGAAGATTAGGCTGGATAACCCCTAAGGTCCTTTCTAAAGTTAAAAGAACCAAGAAATACAAACTGACTACCTCAAGTAAATATCAGTTACAGAATATTCTTGAATGTATAATCCGAATAAACCCGATAGTAATTACGTCATGGAGCAATTTTCCAACTGCATTGTCAAAAGCAATGTGTTAATATTTAAACTTGCTTTCCACAGCTTACTCCAAGACAATGGAATATATTGTAACAGCTCTTTCATATTTGAATACAAAATGATTTTAAAATGGCAACAAGAAGAAAATTCAAAGTTCAGAGAATGATTTGAAAATATTGCATAATATGGTAGAAACACCTACACTTTCTTTCTTAAGGTATAAAAGTGAAATGCAGGCTACAAAAAATTGATCGCTATCTAACACAGGACTTGAATATGGTTAGTAACACCAGGGCAGTGAAAGCTAAGTATCTGGGGGTTTGATTTAATGCTTGGAGAAGCAGTTATTATTTACAAGCCAGACACCTTTTGATCCTTTAATTTGGTATTTAAAAATTCATATATCCAAGTTGGGCAATAATAAGATAAAAATTACATGGTTGCAATATTATTGAGGGAGAAAAAAATCAATGTTTGTTATATGTGTTAATTACGTATTATATTTAATGAATGATATTTTAATTGAAATAAATATAAATGCACAAATCTCTAATTTAGTAGATTTGACTTACTTTGAGTTTCAGAAATGAGATAATGTTTGCAAAAAAAAAAAAGTGGTTGTGGTTCTTTTTTCCTAAATGATCTTGATTAGACTGTTCATTTCTTTTACTACCCTGGTATTAATTTCAGCATTTCTTTTTCTTTTAGGACGTGATTCTCAGTCACCAGACTCAGGTACAGAAAAGCTATTCTGAATAACCATTACATCTGTTGTGAGCTGTTTTTTTTTTTTTTTTTAACATATTTGTAGTCACATTGTTGACCTCACAGTAAACCTCAATTGCATATACAGTTATGTCTATTAAACTAAGTTTAATTTCTTTTTACAAAGAAGTTATTTTGGAAATAAAAATAAATTTTACCCAAAAAAATGTTAAAAATGAATGTAGATATTTTTGTATCCAATTTGTCTTCCCTTAATAAAAGCTTGGAGCTCTTACAATGATCGAAATCAAGAGACATTGAACGGCGATGCTACATATTCCTCTCTTGCAGCAAAAGGTTTTAGAAGCGTTCGACCAAATTTACAAGAAAAAAAGTCACCAACTCAGGTAATCCTGCACATTCTTGTCTACTATGTTATTTTAAACATGGTTAAAAATACACTTTAGAGTCTCTTCTCTAGCAACAGGTGCGTATTTAGAACATCTTTAATCTTTAATATGTTTTGCTTTTCTATCTGTGTTCCTTGTCAAACTTGAATTCACAACATGTTTAAGTTCAAAACAGGCTTTGTGGGGTTTTTTTCTGACTCAGTTTGTAAAAGTAGATCACTTTCTAACATTATATTTATGACTTTTTCTAATTCTTAAAAAGCTGTTGGCCGATGCTTTGATTTCGAAGCTATGCCATCAGCCGTATATTTATTCAATAAATAGGAGTTCTGCAACTGTTCATTATGTTAACTGAAAGAACCCTGTGTTGGAGATATTAGTAAAATTGTGCCCCAAACCTGAAAAATGTTATCAAAACAGTGTGACTAAATATACGGTACCTATACCTCAAAGTCTAAAAATATGCATATATCTCAAGGTCAAAAAAATATGCCAAGAGAATACATGTTGATTTTTAACATAATTTTCAATATAGATGGAGTCAAACTTCATATTGTATTCTCCATAAAAACCATTTTCTCCCACAGGGTAACTATTGATAATAAATTAAAAGGCATTCTAAGTGGAATAAAAATGATCATTTAATCTAGCCAGCAAAATGTGTAGAATAAGGAGGTGTGACATTGTTTTACTTTCTTTAAGGGTTAGGTTGATGCTGGTTTTCTCAAAGACTAACTCTGACTTTCTCTCTGTTTTTCCTTCAACATTATTTCTCTCTCCGGATGCTTCTGGCAATCCAGGCACCCTTTCAACCACCCAGAAAAGAGAGCTTTTGTAGCTCCCTGATAACCAGTCACACAAAGGGTGACATTTTAGACCAATCAGTAACTAACACACAAACTCCCTCCTGTACAAAGTACTTTACTAATAAAAAACCTCTTGAGGGAACTATGTATTCTAATGATGACTCAAACCAGACAATTGTGTATTCGGAAGAATCTAACACAACTGTGTCATATACACAAAAAATCACTAACCCGCTACCAGCAGCTGCCACCATTGGTTCCCCATCAAATGCTAACACCAGCACCCCATTTCTACAAGAGGACTACACACAGGACTGTCAAACTCGACGAATTTCTACACTGAAACTAATCCATAACCAGGATCTAGGAAGTAGTGTCCACTTTAATACTCCACAGTTTTCCCAATCTGTTGAAGTACCATCGTTTCTCCAAAGGCCTTGCTCACCACCCCCTAACCCAGCGCCTGAGATACACACAACATCTCTTTCCATTCAGATAACTCCTGTTTCAGGACACGATCCTGAAAGCCACAAACAGCTACCTGAGCTTTCTCCAGAGACTACAAAGATACCTCTTCAGCAAGAGAGACAAAAATCTGCAGTTGCTGCGGCCTCTCAGTCCTCAGACTGCCGGGTGGTACATTACACTTTCCAATCTCTTCTCACAGGTGTTCAGCACAGACCCTAACTCCTTTGATTTGGGCTTCTTGTATAACCCAATGCTTTGGTAGTTTCTGAGCAGGAAGGGAAAGGAGAAAGAAACCGTCTTCCTATTTAAAGCCCTACTAAATTCATCAATAAATTTCTGGGTATCTTTTAATAAAAAATACATATATACATAGCAACCAATATATATCAATGTGTATATATAATATACACAGATTTTTAATCCAGAAATCATGTGCTAACATTTCTTCCTTCTAAGTATTGATGAATTTGTTATCACTGAATACTCTGCAAACCACTTCAGTTCTCAAAGTATTTTAAAATTTTACAGAAATACTTTTATGTCAGACTTTTGAGTGCCTTGATTTGCTTTACATGTATAAAGGCTCTCAAAATAATTAGCAACTACAATTCATTTGGCAGGAAACATGTACTTTAATTCAACCAGCATTTACTCCTTTGTACCTCAATATTTAGTTTCACTAAAACTTGATCAATTTCTACCCCTTAAAACTTATTTCAGAACATATATTCACCAATCTTTAATATCCAGACTGTTAGGAAGTAAATCTTTATTTCCCTATATGTAAAATGCTTTCATAAGTGCCATTCTACTGGCATTTATTAGTCATTTAGAAGAGAAATGTGTTCCTCTTCTTGGTTTCTGCAAAATGATTTAGTGTTAAGAGTATAAGCTTTAAGGATCAACAGCAGATTTCAGTTCACCTCCATCACTGGCAATGCGATGAGGCAACCTTCTTAACTTCTCTGTGGGTCTGAGTGAAGAAATGAGAATATTAATTAATCCTTAATTCATAGGTATTGGTAGGACTAGGGAGATAGTAGAAGTAAACTACTTAGGACAGAGCAAGCACTACATAAATGGTAGCCATTAAAAAAGATAAAATGCTAACAACTACAGCAGTGGTGGGAAGATTGGAAACACTAATACCCAAGTAAATAATCTGTATAATACTATTTCCTGTAGCTGCGTTATTAAAGATCATCCAAAACATATCTTTGAAGAGACAGGTTTTTAAACTTTGTAGAAAAATCAGACATCTGATTGATACCACATCCCTTTTCCCACTTAGAAAGCAGAAACAAGCTCAGATGATTAAAAAGACAAATGGGTATTTTCCTATCTCTACTAAAAAGATCTCTTTCATCAGCTAATTGTGATATGCAAAATTAATTCATTAGAGAAAGTTCTTTGAATTAAGGTAATATCTTTTGAAAGGCCCTATGAAATATGATAACAATAATTATAATAGCAACTTAAAAATACTAGGAGTTTATCATATGCAGGTACTGTTACAACTTACTTGTATTTATTATAAATATAATAATATATTTATATACTATTATAATAATTGTTAATATTAATAATATAATTAATAAATATTAATTTTCTTAATATAATTTAATATTGTTTATATAATTTTTGGCTAGGATTATTATTTATATTATTAACATAATATAAATTATTAATAATATCAATGTTAATAATATTGTTGGTATTGTTTATATTATGAGGTAGGGAGCAAAATCAAGCTGAGACACTACAGACAGGGTTCTGCCAGTATCAGAGAGCAAGCTTACTTATGTCCCGGGACATGTGCCTCCAGGAAGCATGGGTAGGAGAAGTCATAGCACACACCACCATGTTAGAACTCAGTTTGCTCCTCTAAGAGTTTGGTTCTTCTAAATGGCTTTATTATGCTTGGACACTTAAGTTCGATAACTTTCTCTTTCCATGGTTCTGTCACTATCCATGCTGACCAGAGATAGTTGGTTTCATTACATAATCCCCAGAGAATCATCACGAAACACAAAGTAAGGTTTGAGATCCTGTCACTTTTATTCACTGAACCATTATTTACTGGGTTTCTACTATGTGTCAAGTCTGTTCTAGTCACAGAGCTGTGTTTGAATCTACTGAGGATTAAAATTTACCAGGGAGGGGCAAAAATTAATTAAAAACAACTTAAATAAGTAGATTACATACATCAGAAAGAGATTACATAAATAAGCAATACTTAGCAGTGATTTGGGGAGAGTCCACATTACTTAGGATAGTCAAAGGATCCTCACTGAGAATTCCAAATAGCTTTGAAGGGAGAAGACCATTCCTGTCAGAGACAGCATTGAGTCAAGGCTTTAAAGCAGAAGCATGCTGGGGCCGCTCGAGGACCAGCAAGGAGGCCAGTGGGAAGACAGGGAGAAAGGGAGGCATAGAGTAAGCAAAGGGGAAGTCAGAGGTAACAGTGGCCAGATAACATCAGTCCCTGCAAACATTGCAAGGATTTCAACTTCTACTCTCAGTAACAATGGGAGTCATTGGGAGATTTCAAGCTACCACAATCGTTATTCAACTCACGGTCTAACTGAATCATTCTGGCAGCTCAATGGAGAATGAACTATATATACTAGGGCAGAAAGGAGGCTAAGCAGCCTGTTAGGTGGCTATTGCAACCATTTAAGCGTGACATGATGGCGGCTCACGGCAGGGTGGAAGCAGTGGACGTGAGGAGAAGTCAGATTCTGGATGTATTTTGAAAACAGAGAAAATAGTATTTCCTAGACAGCATGTGGGACGTGAGAGAAAGAGAAGAGTTGAGACTGACTCCAAGGATTTGAATCTTAGCACCTGAGAAGGATGGAATTTGCCATCTGTTGCCCATACAGAAGGGATAACTGTCGGTAGAGCAGATCTGGGGGGAAATCAGAGGTTCTATCTGAGACATGGTAAGTTTGAAGTGTCCATGAGATATCCACATGGAGAGGTAGAGTAAGCGGTCCAGTATAGGAGTCTGGCATCCAGGTAAAGGGACCAGGTTGGAGATACCAGCTTATAGATGGTTTTTGTAGGCAAGAGACTGAATGAGATCACCAGGGCATGAGTACTGAGAAACCAAGGGTCAAGGACTGAGTCCAAGAGCATCCTACTAGTAAAAGAAAGAACCAGCAGGAGACTAAAAGGAGCATCCGCTAAGGGAGGAGGAACATGTGGTATCTGAAGAGCCGAGCAAGGAAAGTATATGGAGAAGGAAGAGATGGCTAACTGCACAAATACTGCTCATAGGGCAAGGGTACGATGAGTTCTGCTAAGTCACCTTTGACCTTAATGGAGACATTCTTGGAGTGGGCTTAAGAGAGACTAGAAGAGCAACTGGCCTAATTATTGTAAACCCTTTCATCCAGTTATTTTCCCTCTCTGAGCCTCAGTCTTTCATCTGTAAAATGAGGATAATAATGGTGTTCATCCCATACCACTGCCGTGAGGTTTGATTAAGATACTGTATGTAAGGAGTTTGGTGTAGTGCTTGCTACTTAGTGACCCCTCAATATGTAGAAGTTGTTGTTATTTTAAAATAACCTCCTTTTTCCAAACCCTCCATCTGATTGGGAAAAGGAAATACACTGTTTTCCACAATACAGTTTCTTATGAGTGGGTTAAAGTTTATTTCATCTGACTTGCAGTTTGCTCCATGATGACACTGTGTTGCCCTTTATAGCACTTTGT